AGTTTTCCCTCCCAGTAGAACTTAATATTTTAGGTAGTTTTCCCCCCAGTAGAACTTAATATTTTAGGTAGTTTTCCCTCCCAGTAGAACTTAATATTTTAGGTAGTTTTCCCTCCCAGTAGAACTTAATATTTTAGGTAGTTTTCCCTCCCAGTAGAACTTAATATTTTAGGTAGTTTTCCCCCCAGTAGAACTTAATATTTTAGGTAGTTTTCCTCCCAGAAGAACTTAATATTTTAGGTAGTTTTTCCTCCCAGAAGAACTTAATATTTTAGGTAGTTTTCCCTCCTAGTAGAACTTAATATTTTAGGTAGTTTTCCCTCCCAGTAGAACTTAATATTTTAGGTAATTTTCCCTCCCAGAAGAACTTAATATTTTAGGTAGTTTTCCCTCCCAGTAGAACTTAATATTTTAGGTAGTTTTCCCTCTCAGTAGAACTTAATATTTTAGGTAGTTTTCCCTCCCAGTAGAACTTAATATTTTAGGTAGTTTTCCCCCCAGTAGAACTTAATATTTTAGGTAGTTTTCCCCCCAGTAGAACTTAATATTTTAGGTAGTTTTCCCTCCCAGTAGAACTTAATATTTTAGGTAGTTTTCCCTCCCAGTAGAACTTAATATTTTAGGTAGTTTTCCCTCCCAGTAGAACTTAATATTTTAGGTAGTTTTCCCTCTCAGTAGAACTTAATATTTTAGGTAGTTTTCCCTCCCAGTAGAACTTAATATTTTAGGTAGTTTTCCCTCCCAGTAGAACTTAATATTTTAGGTAGTTTTCCCTCTCAGTAGAACTTAATATTTTAGGTAGTTTTCCCTCTCAGTAGAACTTAATATTTTAGGTAGTTTTCCCTCCCAGTAGAACTTAATATTTTAGGTAGTTTTCCCTCCCAGTAGAACTTAATATTTTAGGTAGTTTTCCCTCCCAGTAGAACTTAATATTTTAGGTAGTTTTCCCTCCCAGTAGAACTTAAATATTTTAGGTAGTTTTCCCTCCCAGTAGAACTTAATATTTTAGGTAGTTTTCCCTCCCAGTAGAACTTAATATTTTAGGTAGTTTTCTCTCCCAGTAGAACTTAATATTTTAGGTAGTTTTCCCTCCCAGAAGAACTTAATATTTTAGGTAGTTTTCCCTCCCAGTAGAACTTAACATTTTAGGTAGTTTTCCCTCCCAGTAGAACTTAATATTTTAGGTAGTTTTCCCTCCCAGTAGAACTTAATATTTTAGGTAGTTTTCCCTCCCAGTAGAACTTAATATTATTTACAAACGATCATACAGTAAAAAAATATAATACGTTTGTTTTATTTCCTCTGATCCTTTGTGTTTTAGTTTCTTGAAAAAAAAATGGCCTGAGCCAATTACAAAATAAGAAAAGAAATACACACACACACGAAGGCGGGGCCAGGACCTGTGACTCGACCCCTGCGAACACATATAGGTGAGTACTCGCACTACTGCATTTTCTCCGCTACAACGCCAGGGTTGCTGTGTATTACGTATCCACTTTGCTCGGTTGGCAGCTCACACATTGAATGTCCGTGGTTCGATCCCCGGTACGGGTGGAAAGATTCGGCTTGTTTCCTTACTCCTACTGTCCCTGTTTACCTAGCAGTAAATAGGTACTAGGGCGTTAGCCGAGTGGTGTGGGCCGCATCCTAGGGACAAAATTAACCGAATTTGTCCTGAATGCTCTACATAACCAGGGGCTTTCTATATAGTATCATTGACGTTAGCTATGGTCTGTACAAGTTGCATCATATACTTGTAGAAATAAAGATTTATGATAATTATTATGTCAGTTATTACTGACAGCAGTACCGTAGGCTGGGGGTGACACCCCAGTGTGTGGGCAGCAACAGTACTCTGTGCTGGAGGCAGCAACACTACTCTGTACTGGAGGCACCAACAGCACTCTGTGCCGGAGGCAGCAACAGTACTCTGTACTGGAGGCAGCAACAGTACTCTGTACTGGAGGCAGCAACAGTACTCTGTACTGGAGGCAGCAACAGTACTCTGTACTGGAGGCACCAACAGTACTCTGTACTGGAGGCACCAACAGCACTCTGTGCCGGAGGCAGCAACAGTACTCTGTACTGGAGGCACCAACAGCACTCTGTGCCGGAGGCAGCAACAGTACTCTGTACTGGAGGCAGCAACGGTACTCTGTACTGGAGGCAGCAACAGTACTCTGTGCTGGAGGCGGCAACAGTACTCTGTACTGGAGGCAGCAACAATACTCTGTACTGGAGGCAGCAACAGCACTCTGTGCTGGAGGCAGCAACTGTACTCTGTACTGGAGGCAGCAACAATACTCTGTACTGGAGGCAGCAACAGCACTCTGTGCTGGAGGCAGCAACAGCACTCTGTACTGGAGGCAGCAACAGTACTCTGTGCTGGAGGCAGCAACAGCACTCTGTAATGGAGGCAGCAACACTACTCTGTGCTGGAGGCAGCAACAGTACTCTGTACCGGAGGCAGCAACAGTACCCTGTATTGGAGGGCAGCAACAGTACTCTGTGCTGGAGGCAGCACTACTCTGTGCTGGAGGCAGCAACAGTACTCTGTACTGGAGGCAGCAACAGCACTCTGTGCTGGAGGCAGCAACAGTACTCTGTGCTGGAGGCAGCAACACTACTCTGTGCTGGAGGCAGCAATAGTACTCTGTACTGGAGGCAGCAACAGTACTCTGTGCTGGGGGCAGCAACACTACTCTGTGCTGGAGGCAGCAACAGTACTCTGTACTGGAGGCAGCAACAGTACTCTGTACTGGAGGCAGCAACAGTACTCTGTGCTGGAGGGAGCAACAGTACTCTGTGCTGGAGGCAGCAACAGCCCTTGTGCTGGAGGCAGCAACAGTACTCTGTACTGGAGGCAGCAACAGTACACTGTACTGGAGGCAGCAACGGCACTCTGTGCTGGAGGCAGCAACAGTACTCTGTACTGGAGGCAGCAACAGTACTCTGTACTGGAGGCAGCAACAGTACTCTGTGCTGAAGGCAGCAACAGTACTCTGTGCTGGAGGCAGCAACAGTACTCTGTACTGGAGGCAGCAACAGTACTCTGTGCTGGAGGCAGCAACAGTACTCTGTACTGGAGGCAGCAACAGCACTCTGTGCTGGAAGCAGCAACAGTACTCTGTGCAGGAGGCAGCAACAGTACTCTATGCTGGAGGCAGCAACAGTACTCTGTACTGGAGGCAGCAACAGTACTCTGTACTGGAGGCAGCAACAGCACTCTGTGCTGGAGGCAGCAACAGTACTCTGTGCTGGAAGCAGCAACAGTACTCTGTGCTGAAGGCAGCAACAGTACTCTGTTCTGGAGGCAGCAACAGTACTCTGTGCTGGAGGCAGCAACAGTACTCTGTACTGGAGGCAGCAACAGTTCTCTGTACTGGAGGCAGCAACAGTACTCTGTGCTGGAGGCAGCAACAGTACTCTGTGCTGGAGGCAGCAACAGCACTCTGTACTGGAGGCAGCAACAGTGCTCTGTGCTGGAGGCAGCAACAGTGCTCTGTACTGGAGGCACCAACAGTACTCTGTACTGGAGGCAGCAACAGTACTCTGTGCTGGAGGCAGCAACAGTATTCTGTACTGGAGGCAGCAACAGTACTCTGTGCTGGAGGCAGCAACAGTACTCTGTACTGGAGGCAGCAACAGTTCTCTGTACTGGAGGCAGCAACAGTACTCTGAGCTGGAGGCAGCAACAGTACTCTGTGCTGGAGGCAGCAATAGTACTCTGTACTGGAGGCAGCAACAGTACTCTGTGCTGGAGGCAGCAACAGTACTCTGTGCTGGAGGCAGCAACAGTACTCTGTGCTGGAGGCAGCAATAGTACTCTGTACTGGAGGCAGCAACAGTACTCTGTACTGGAGGCAGCAACAGTACTCTGTGCTGGAGGCAGCAACAGTACTCTGTGCTGGAGGCAGCAACAGTACTCTGTGCTGGAGGCAGCAACAGTACTCTGTACTGGAGGCAGCAACAGTACTCTGTACTGGAGGCAGCAACAGTACTCTGTACTGGAGGCAGCAACACTCGGTGTATACACCGACACATAACCATACAAAACAACTCTTCAGTTGACGAACTGTTATTTCGTGAAGCAACTTCACTAACAGCCAGAAGTTGCCCAAACGAATGATTGTTTCTCAACATTGTATTTTTGCCCATCACCCACACTGCTGGGCGAGTAACACCCACGGTAACCGTGGTCCACCCTCACACAACTGCTAGGCTATAATACTCTCCAGGGGACACTCAAGTAGATATTACAGAAATGTCTTATGAAATGTCATGCATATCAAGGTAGCTCCACATCGTGGTCTCTGATACTGACAGTGAGTGTTGGCTTATATCATACTGCTGCCATTTTTGCTTGACTCTCGATGTGAATTCATTGCCTTTTTTTTTTTATAACTCATAATTGTATATCTAGTTACAGTGCCCCTCTGAGGATTAATGTTTGTGGAGACGCCAGTAGACAACGCTTGTTCAGGTACAAAGAAATATCTGTGGTAGACCTTGGGTTGTTCACATGTAAATTAGACTCGTTCAAGTTGTACAAATTTAATATATAAAATCACACGCACACATACATTTATTTTATTATATATATATATATATATATATATATATATATATATTATATATATATATATATATATATATATATATATATATATATATATTTAAATATATAAGTTACTGAACGAATAATAGAAAAATCATGAAAAAGAGATTAAAATAATGTTGAGAGAGAGAGATAATATATTTAGGTTGAACACGTACATAACACTTAACAAGGTCATTAATCCTGTAGAATCCTGGAGCACAGTTATAAAAATGGACGAGAGATAATTTAGTGAACCCTTTTTGCATCTTTCTATCTCTCTTTCTCTCTCGTTTTAACCTAAATATTCTTAAAGTGAACGAAGATAAACTCTCTTCTGGCTAACTCTACAGGCTCTGACCGCCTGAAAATTCTGAGCTGATCGTTAATCATTGAAAATCAAATTTAGAGCCCTCGAAATAAAAAAAAAATCCAAAAACTTAGAAAAAATTTACGAGCTCAAAAAAACAGAGCTCTCTCATTTTGCTGAAAAGCATTGAAAATGCCCTGTTTACAAGGCCTACGACCCCCCTCCCTCCGCTTCATGGGAGGCCCGTTCGAACACTTGGGTTGATTGTAACATTTAGTACGTACAAGAGTTCCAAGTTATTAATAACAGTGTGGGTTTTCAAGTTAACAGAGCAGCCAGGCGCGTCCACGGAAGCTTTGAAGCCTTCGGGTGTTCACAAGGACCGGAAACGGATGCGCTCAGAACATGGTGCTATCCGGTGTTTACATTCCCTTGGAGGCCTGCGAAATAATTTAGAACCTCAAGGTGTTCAAAATCACCCCATAAAAATCAGGGTGTTTAAAGCAATTCAGAACACCCAAAGTGTTCAAACTACCAGCAATTTAGAACACCCAGTGTTCAAACTACCAGACACGAGGGGGATGGGGAGGTGTTTGAATCACTTCAGAACCCGAGGGGCCTGAACCCTCCAATGTATTCATCTCCTCGGAGATCCCTTCCGAGGGGCCCCAGTTCCCCAGCGAAGGAGCTAAGGTCGTCCCAGAGCCTGAAGTATCCCTCATAGTCGTGGTCCGAAGCTTCGGTCGTAGTTGTGGTGGTCGTGGTGGTGGATGATGGCACCTGGGTCGTGAACTGATGCCTGAAGACCGTGGCGTCGACGTACGTAGGTCGTGCGGGGTGGTTCCTGTGAGGCTGCTGAGTGGTGGTTGTGGTCGTGGTGGTTGACGGGAAACCCACCTTGGCCACCTCAGTCTTGCCTTGGGTCTTGTCGTGGACTTGTTTGATGGGGAGGTCGAGGGCCAGCTTGTCCTTGATGGAGAGACTGCCCTTGGAAAGAGGTGGCACTGCTGCCCCCAAGGTCAGCGCTGCCACCACCACCAACAACAACACCTGCGGCAAACACATAGATTAATTATTATCGCCATTTATTATATTATTTTAATTTATTATTATTATTATTATTATTATTATTATATTTATTTGGAATAATTTTTTTATTGAGTTCGACAAATAAGTTATGAACATTGTTAAGTACATTATATAGATTTAATGTCCACTAGAAGGATATGGCTGTAAGCTGACACCTGGTGGTATAAGGTCATGACAAAGTAGAAGCATATATATATATATATATATATATATATATATATATATATATATATATATATTATATAAGCTGCAAAGACAAATTTTCCAGTTCTTCTTTGCTGTGTCATTATGCCGTGGATAATTAACTTGGAATAACCCAGTCAAGTCAAACAGTGTGACTCTGGAGAAGCACAAACCGTGCAAGTCATACTGCCTCTGGGTCCAGGGATTCGATCCCTGGACCTCATTGGTGAGAATCACGCCTCTCACCACTGGGCTACGGCTGTTGGGTGCAGATAGGAAGCGCGTCTGTCTCAGAAGACGGAGGATCAAGCCTCCACAGCGTCTTGCGCTAAATGATCCACGTGGGTTTAGCATTTAATAAAAAAAATGGGGAGAGTAATTTTATAGTTACGCCTAGTACATAATTTGTAACTTTTACAGTTTTTTTATTGGAGTTTGTGAGGAATAACAAAGTAAAGTCAGTTTAACCCGAGGTGGCGTCCTAGACGAGGAGACGCAGGGGCTGGTCTCCGTACACCTGCTGTCCCATGTACCTAGCAGTAAATATGTACCTAGCAGTTAGTCGACTGTTGTGAGTCACATCACAGGGGAGAATCTAAAAACAAATCAGTTAAAATAAGCCACACCGATTTATTCTGGGATTTTAACCCTCGTAGGTTAATAATCTGAAGTGTTCTTACCTAGACTAAGTAACTCGTGACTCAGTTAGCAATGCACTCATCACACACTGAGTGCCCATGGTTCAATTCCCGACATGTGTGGAAACGTTTGGCATATTTCCTTATACCTGGGCTGCCCCTCTTCACCTAGCAGTAAATGGGTACCTGGGTGTCAGTCGACTGGGTCGCACCCTGGGAGCAAGACTGAAGGGCCACAGTGGAAATAAGTCGGTCACCGATGACGCACTGATTTTGTTGGGTTATCCTGGGTGACTAACACTCCGGGCTAATTGTTTTTTATCTGTCCAATCTAATTTCAAGATAACATTTCCCCCAGACTTCCCTCCAGTCCTTTCCCCGTCCATTGAAAGACAGGAAAGACAGAAAACGTTCAACAATGGGAATGTCTCTGGGTGATCAAAGAAAACGTGCAGGTCGTCAACAATGGAAGGGTGACTCAGCTAAACATTCCTACAATGAAAGCTCAACAAAGAAACTGTGACTCGGACATCTGAACAGGCTGAACAAAGGAAAAAAGATTTAAAAAAAAAGTGTATTCCCATGTCAGATCGTGATAAAAGTAGAAATACAATAAACTTGAGATTGTCTACTTACAAAGACCCAATATAAATAAAAATCATTGTCAAAATTTAAACTTACCACTCACGAAATCGTAATAACACTGACCTCTGAGTTGTAAGACTCACCTGCCATGAGTTCAACTCCCACTCGTTCTGTGGTTTGATTAAACGTACGTATGAGGACTGAATAAAAATTTACTAACTTAACCCTCCACATGTGCATATTCAACACGAGGTATATACACCCTGAGGTGTATATATACCTCCTGGTATATGTATACTGAGAAGTTATTTCAGGGACTGAAGTATTTTAGACTGGTGAAATTGTAATCTTATTGTAACCCTCGTGTAGTTGAGAGGCATCAAATACCATTAACCAGCCCACCAACCATATTCGACGCAGGAAAAAGTATGCATGATGTTTTCATGACTCACGAAATCGTAATGACACGATTGCAAACAAACCATACCACGGGCGGGATTGAACCCGCGGTCAGAGAGTCTCAAAACTCCAGACCGTTGTGTCATTACGATTTCGTGAGTCATGTTGACGGCAGTGAAGGGACTTGAGCTAGAGTTCGTCACGGCCACGCTAGCTGGAGATTCGTCTGTAAAAACTTGCATTTGTGGTCACAGTGGTGCCTATGCTAACCTTCCTATGATGTAGAAATATACCTAATTGGACGAATCTTATTGTGACTAGCTGGTCCAGTGGCTAACGCGACGGTCTGGAGTTTTGAGACTCTCTGACCGCGGGTTCAATCCCGCCCATGGTATGGTTTGTAAATGTTTTGTAAGGAAACAGGACAAGAGTTTCCAGACGCGGGTCTTAGTCTTATGATGACCCACAGCTGGAGCTCTTGGTCCTCTGACTGAAGCCTTCAGCTGGCTTACCACCTTTCTAAAAATTATGGTTAACATTATAACCATTTTACTAGTAGGTAGGAAAAAGTTATGAAGCATTTCTATATATGAAGTGTGCTCAGACTCACTTTCAAACATGTTAGAAGACTATGCCAATATAACACGAAATTCTTCAAGTGGATGAGTGATTTTCTCCTTTTTATTATTATTCATTTATAACACGCGTTGCTGCATGGTAACTAGGACAAGATTCTTGGACCTCCGGAGTTCCTTGCGACCAAAGTTGTAAAAGCCCACTTCAAGATTCCTTGATCCGCTCTGATTACTTATAAAACCCTGTGAGGGGGAGGTTTGACTTGTTAAAAAAAAAAAAAGCGTGTTTCCGAATTTGACGACGTTGGAGATCGAGATTCAGGTTTCTTGGAGAACATTTATCAATTTTACTTGTGATGTGCGACCAGTTGTTATTCCTTTTAAATCACATTAAATATATCTTAGTCTGTCATCTATCAACATCTTCACTATTTAATGGTCAATGCATCTTACGAACAGGATGGGACCTATTGTGGGGGGGGGGGGTCCCATAGCGCGATTGCTAGCTCACACTGAGGTCCGTGGTTCGATCCCTAGTACGAATGGGAACATTAGGATGTGTTTCCTTAAGACACCTGCTGTCCATGTTCACCTGGAAGTAAAATATGAACCTGGGCGTTAACCGAGTAGTGTGGGTCGCATCCTGGGGATAAAATTGACCTTAACTGACCGAAATGCTCTGCACAACACCCGGACATTTATATAGTGTGTCACTGATGACAGCTAGGCCTATATATGTTGTTCTTGTACTAGTTGAAATAAAAATTATTATTATCATTATTATTATTATTATTATTATTATTATTATTATTAGTAGTAGTAGTAGTAGTAGTAGTAGTAGTAGTAGTAGTAGTAGTAGTGGTGGTGGTAGTAGTAGTAGTAGTAATAATAATAATTAATAATAATAATAATAATAATAATAATATTATTATTATTATTATTATTATTATTATTATATTATTATTATTATTATTATTATTATAAGTTCTCTGTACAGGAAAATTTATTAATAAACTGAATTAGTTAAAAAAAAAAAAGCTGAATCATTGGAATGCGTCTGGTAGATTAGACGGAGAATGACTCTTGTTGTTAGCCTCGGTCTCTAGGGCTGGTGAGCTTTACCCAACGTGTGCTGTACACGTGTGCTGTACACAACGTGTGCTGTACACAACGTGTGCTGTACACAACGTGTGCTGTACACAACGTGTGCTGTACACAACGTGTTGCTGTACCCAACGTGTGCTGTACACAACGTGTGCTGTACACAACGTGTGCTGTACACAACGTGTGCTGTACACAACGTGTGCTGTACACAACGTGTGCTGTACACAACGTGTGCTGTACCCAACGTGTGCTGTACACAACGTGTGCTGTACACAACGTGTGCTGTACACAACGTGTACTGTACACAACGTGTACTGTACACAACGTGTGCTGTACACAACGTGTACTTTACCCAACGTGTGCTGTACACAACGTGTGCTGTACACAACGTGTGCTGTACACAACGTGTGCTGTACACAACGTGTGATTTACACAACGTGTGCTGTACACAACGTGTGCTGTACACAACGTGTGCTGTACACAACGTGTACTGTACACAACGTGTACTTTACCCAACGTGTGCTGTACACAACGTGTACTTTACCCAACGTGTGCTGTACACAACGTGTGCTGTAACACAACGTGTACTGTACACAACGTGTGCTGTAACAACGTATACTGTACACAACGTGTGCTGTACCAACGTGTACTGTACACAACGTGTGCTGTACACAACGTGTGCTGTACACAACGTGTGCTGTACACAACGTGTGCTGTACACAACGTGTGCTGTACACAACGTGTGCTGTACACAACGTGTACTGTACACAACGTGTGCTGTACACAACGGTGTGCTGTACACATCGTTGTGCTGTACACAACGTGTGCTGTACACAACGTGTGATTTACACAACGTGTGCTGTACACAACGTGTGCTGTACACAACGTGTGATTTACACAAACGTGTGCTGTACACAACGTGTGCTGTACACAACGTGTGCTGTACACAACGTGTGCTGTACACAACGTGTGCTGTACACAACGTGTGCTGTACACAAGTGTGCTGTACACAACGTTGTGCTGTACACAACGTGTGATTTACACAACGTGTGCTGTACACAACGTGTGCTGTACACAACGTGTGCTGTACACAACGTGTGCTGTACACAACGTGTGCTGTACACAACGTGTGCTGTACACAACGTGTGCTGTACACAAACGTGTGCTGTACACAACGTGTGCTGTACACAACGTGTACTGTACACAACGTGTGCTGTACACAACGTGTGCTGTACACAACGTGTGCTGTACACAACGTGTGCTGTACACAACGTGTGCTGTACACAACGTGTGCGTACACAACGTGTGCTGTACACAACGTGTGCTGTACACAACGTGTGCTGTACACAAACGTGTGCTGTACACAACGTGTACTGTACACAACGTGTGCTGTACACAACGTGTGCTGTACACAACGTGTGCTGTACACAACGTGTGCTGTACACAACGTGTGATTTACACAACGTGTGCTGTACACAACGTGTGCTGTACACAACGTGTGATTTACACAACGTGTGCTGTACA